ACACACATTACCCTTGCACAGAGCCCGACAGTGTTCTGCACAGGCTCAATCAGCAGAACAAATTCCAGAGCTAAGCAGTGGGCGCGAGGAATCCCCGCGATTTCCCCCCCCCCCTTCCCGCCCACACTGTAGGAGGCCTAAGCAAGCGCTTTTTAGGCATAGCCAGCGGATGGCGGCTGCAGGCCTTCGGAACTGCGATGCAGCGCCTTGCACCCGCAACCGAGACACGTGAACGCGGTGCACCGGGCACCGGAAAAGGAGGCAGCCGGCCGCGCACACCAATGGCAGTGTTGCTAAACGCGCCTCACTGGCCCGGTCAATCCACTCAAGCCAACCCCAACAGGCCCCGAACTATCCCACCACCTCGGCCAGCAACAGCAACCGCAGCAGCAGCAACAACGCGCCCTGCAACCAAGCGTACCGGCAAGCAGCAGATGGGCACACCGTGCAACTTGTTATTTCCGAGCAGCTCAGCACTCAGCCTTTGGCAGTGGTAACGAGCAGTGCGTGTTGTAGCCGAAGCGTAGCAGTGACCCCCGAGCAGTGTGTATGGGTAGTTTTGGGAAGGCCGGGGCTGTGGTGGTTGAAGCCGCTCTTAATCGAATCCGGTGCAGAGCAGAAATTCAGGTCAGAAACAGCGCAAAATCACCTTTATATGCCAGTATCTGTACCACTGGCCAAATCTGATTCCCTGGCATGTGTGTGCGCGTTCTGCCTATTTTATGCATTTTTAGGCGTTTTTGCTGTACAGCGCTAGAGCGCTGCTACAGCCAGCAAAAGACGCATATTGTCGAGAGGTTATCTCTGTGTGTGTGTGTGTGTGTGTGTGTGTTCACAAGCGAGTGCATTTTATCACCCACTTTCATCTCAGCAACAAGAAAAGCTGGGAGGCTGAAACTCTAGGTATATGTTCCTACCCCGTGCGTCACCCTCCCGTTTCAAGATATTCCCCCACACGCGCCTAGGCCCAGCGTACGAGCCCTCCAAAAAAGTATGCAAATTTCCTTGGCGGGGAACGATTTCGCGAACCAGGCAAGATGGAAAGCTGAAACTTTGCAGTGATATTCTCTATGAACGTGCCAGCTAAAGATTTTAAACTCAGCTGTCGAGCACGCTTGTGAAGCGCGTACCAGTACGTCAAAGTTGCAACTTTAGTGCTGTGCTAACTCGAAAACTTGCCGGAAAACAGTGGCTGAAATTTTGTCAGAAAGTTTATCGCCCACACAGCAAGCCGTAATTCTAAAATAAGCACCGAATTGCACTTGCGTCACGACTAAGAGTGCTTCAAAAATATTTGTAGCGTTCCGCCTACCAGACAAGCTGCGAGGCTGAAAGTTTGCTGGAATATTCTACTCTCAAGTTCAGTCTTAATTCTGTTTGGAGGTAAAATTCCCTGCAGGTGGGCGTGAAAAATACTTGACTTTACCGAAAAATCAGAAACGAGTGCAGTTTGCAGCGAACGACCGCCCTCATCCAAATATGTGAATGAACAGTAGTCAATTTGCACACATGGATTTTTTGATAAATGATTGCTCGAGCAATAATTCCATTTTTTAGTGAACTGGAAATTTGCATTTTTTCAAAAAATTTGCATATGTCACTTTTTCACTAAGCGAGCATTTACCGAAACTCAGGCTGGAACACACCACTCGGGCCGGTGCGATTATGCGTTTTTGCACTTTTCGTGCCGTAGCAAGATCCCAAGGAATCAGAGTAGCTAACCCCGTGAAATACTGGCCCTCGAAGTTCGGGAAGTTAATTATGCAGCTATTTGGTATGTTAGCTGTAGGTGTCGATTTCATTGACCCCACAAATGGAAAAGTTGCTGGTCCG